TCAAAGGATGCCAGATATATGAAACTTGGAACTGAAGCTGAGGAAATGATGCTTGGAACTTTGGGAGAACAGCCTTATGCCAGAATTATTCTCCACCATATGAGGTGGTCTGACTGAGCAATCTTTACAAATGCACTTTCTCTTATTTATGCACATCTGCACACAAGGGAAGAAGAAGGGTATTTGCTCAGCTTCAGGGATACCCCTCTTTGTTGCCTCCTTGACGTTGCAGATGGTAGTGAACAGTGCTACAGCAAACAGCTGCTCACCCAAACTGTACAGTGAAGAAAATAATACCTCTTGAATGGAAATTTCTAGCAAAATCTTAGGACATAATTCTATAGTGAAAAATAAGTGAATTCTGAGGAACTTTATGGTAGATATTTTTATAGTAAATGATTTCTGAAAGTTTTTGATGTGGAAGTTCTAATGTCATACATAATGCTCCAAAGGCACACTATCAAGTCTGGTTTAACTCAATACAAATTTAATATAAGCTTGAAGAATCTAGGTAAGTATTATGTCAATTGAAGGCCACAAGGAATAGTCACCTATTATCAGAGGACTCTAGATTAGTCTTTCCAAATATAATTTATTCTATTAATGAATGAGTAACAATGACAGTTTTAGAATCATTTTAGAAATATTCAAGTACTTAAAACATCTTTTTCCTGATAACAATTAAATAACCTAGTCCGACAATGAGATGACCACTTTGTATTAATTGATGCCTGTAATCATGGTACTACCTCAAGGACAAGATAGAGTGTTCTCAAATTTAAGTAGAATAAACAGTCTTCCTTGAAGAAGAATGGAAAGTGAGGTACAAAAATAAAAAATCATTGAGTAATATTCTGCAACAGCATACCTAGAAGTGCAATGGACAAAGGTATACAGGCTTTGTTCTCTTCTTGTATTCTTTTATATATCTATGATAGGTGAAATGATACTAAAACAAAATATAACAAAAAATGTAAAGATGGAAATTTGGTTTTAAGTTGTATTTTTGATCATTACAATTATATTTTCACAAAAAGATCTAGACACCGGCAGTTTTTACCATAACCTGAGAATATGTTGGTTACAATAAAATCAAGAGCATTAGCAAATGTGCCATTCTATATTTTTTAAAATAACACAATTAAGCATTGTTATATTGTTAGTTGTCTATTTTCAATAACCTACAATCAAACCTATGAAGATCTATTAGACACAATTATGTCTATTTTATCAGAAATAATACATGTCTTTGTTGAGGTATTAGGCCGACTTTAAAACTGATTAAAGTAATTAAGAGAACAACCTAGATTTTGAGCCCATGCTGGTTAAATGAATAAACATCATCACAGAAACTTCAACACAGCAAGAGAAATACACCTCCTAAGAATTTCCATTGCTCCATCAGAACACAAACTGTACTCTTGGGTGGTGTTGGTACCCAGAGTTCCACCAGGATCAGCTTTTATCCCTGTAATGCTGGAGTTCAGTTAGAGAACAGACTAACTGCAAAGGTAAATTTTTTTATGAAAGCTATTTTTTAGGGTTAAAAAGTTCCTCTTAAAATATATTAATAGTAAAATGGGAAATAGATATTTGAACAGAGATAATACCACTTTTTACTAGAGTGTCAGGTTGAAATTATGTAATCAAGTAAATTTCAATGGTGCCCCAAATGCACTAAGTCTACTGTTTTCAATATACTTCATTGTATGTAAGTAACCAACTAAAATGATCAACTATTTGAGGCTATTGAAACTGTAACTTAATAATAAAAATTGATCATTATAATGTACTCACTGTGACATATCACTAAATCTAAAATAACTCCATATCTAAAATAGATTCACCATCATCTTCAAACAACACTTAGAATAATTAATATGTTAGGTACAACTTGCTTCATTCTATTTTTAAAATAGTGCTTTACAATCTATACTTGGTATCTCAGATTTTTTATTTTTAATTTAAAGATTAGAGAGGACACAAAATATTTCTACTGTTGTTTGTGATAAATTAAATTGGTATGTTCACTGCTGAATATTAAGTCCAATGAATTGAATGTGTGATCTTTAATATATATTTTTACATGCATGTTCAGAGAAGCCATGTTCACAATAGTTAAAATAGAAAACAAACCAAGTTTACATTAACAGGTAAGTATTTATACAAAATATAGAATGTACTTTCAATGAAATATTTTTTACCTTAAAATGAAGTAATGGAGAAATATGCTATAATTTGAACTTGCCACTACTGTGAAAGATGAAGTAGTTCCTTCCTTACAGAAGGCAAACACTGTATTTCATTACACTAGGTTCTCTGTGTACTCAGGCATCATAGATGAAAAGGAGCTGTCCATTTTGTAACGTTAATGTATGTAGAGATTCAGATTTGTTAAGTGGTATCCCTTTACGACATTGTGGGTGAGTTCAATGCCAAAGAGGATTTTACAAAATTGGTGATAATGGTGTTTGCTATATTTTACCACAGTGTAAAAACTGTAATGCTTGTGTATTTGAAATTTCACAAAGGTACAGCAGAATAAGGTTTCTCAGTTTGCCTTTATGTTATTGGTGTCCAGTATTTGCCATTAGTAAAAATCTTTAATTAGGGATAAAAATGTTCCTTGTTACACACTCTCTAATATTGTGTCTTCACTCACATAATGCTATAGAGCATACTCAGTGTTGAAAGGCTTTCTATACTGGCCCATTATTGCAACCTAACTTCCAATTCTTACCATAATAGTTATAAAGAGTGCAGATAATTTTCTAAAGCTTCTTATGTGACTTTTAAAGAGCAGTCCTATTTTTCTGTCTGATACTACCACATTTATCTGAAGAAGGAAAACATATTAGGCATGGGTGTCACCAATCACAGAAGAGTGTCATGACCAGCACAAGTTCACCAAAAGATGTACTCAAAGAGACTGAATATGCAACAGGACACTGATGTTGAAATCCTTATCCTCTCTATACTAGCCCATCAGAAAATTAGTTGTTACCCAGTCTCCAAGCCAGTGTTGCTCTGCTTATATTTTTCATTCCAATTAGAACATGTCTTTGAGATAGAAAATGTTATAGCTTTATTTCAACTCACTTCTCCTTTTTACTCCTTGCCAAAGCCAAAGTAGATTATTTGGTTCTCCACCAGGAGAAGGTGGTCAGTTCATGGAGTTAAAAATGTAAGAGTTTGGAGAAACTTCCTAAGCTTACAGCTTTCAAGAGGTTTCTATTTTCATGCTGGCCCATTTCCCTGTTCCACCAATTTGTCAAAATTACCCTGTAACTCATTCTCTTGTTTTGTGACTCTGATAGCTTCTGCTTTGGATGAAAAGATCTTGGCTGTGATTATTTGCTTGCCTGTCTTTCCAGTTTGGAGCTGAGGGTTTGCCCTGTGACCACAGTTTTCTGATGGTTCCAGTAAACCCTGGTTATTTTAAGTTTTCTCCTGGCTTTCCTTTATCTAAGGAGAGAAGTGATAATTCATACTCTTTATATGCCCACTCAAAATTGGAAGTGTTTTTGTCATTAATATATTAGTTATGCATCTGTCCCCAAATATAAAGTAAAGAGAAGTATCAGTGACAGACAGAAAAATAGAACTATTTTAACCATAAGTAATGTAAAATAACAAAATAATCACATAAGTAGCTAACAAAAATAGAACAGATTTTATAGATGGAAGAGATGCAATAACATTGGTGGACAAAAGGAAGGCCACTTGACTTAAATGGGAACAGATGTATTTTTAGCCATGAGTTAAAGGAATAGCAATTTTCAGTACCTTATTTACTGTGTTGTGTTCAGAACTCCAACAGTAGTTTTCCAAGTGCAGCATCACAAAAAAGAAAACAAGTCATCTTTCTTCACATTGGTTTAGTGCTGTGGGATAATTTTCTTATACACTGGTTTAATAAAAACCTGATTGACCAGTAGTCAGGCAGGAAGTATAGGCAGGAAAAGCAGACAAGGGGAATTCTGGGAAGAGGAAGGGTAAGTCAGGAGATGTCAGCCCACCATCCAGGGAGCAGCATGTAATGGCACACAAGTAAAACCATGGAACATGTGGCAACATATAGATTAACAGAAATGGTCTGAGTTTAAGTGTAAGAGCTAGTCAGTGGTAGGCCTGAGCTAATGGCCAAGCAGTTTTAATTAATATAAGCCTCTGTGTGTTTACTTGGGTCTGAGTGGCTGTGGTACTGGTGGGTGAGAGAGATTTGTCCTGACCGTGGGTCAGGCAGGACACAGAAATACTTCTACTACCGTTTAGCGTTTTTGTTTTTGTTTTGATATTATGTGATATATTGAAACATTTTGTACTATTGCAGAGGTATAATCAGGGTACATTTAAGTAAACATGATTTTATTTTACTTAATATTTTATTATTACTTTTATGTATGTGTAGGTGTATGTCTTGCTCTGTGTATTTGCTCAAAAGTATATGTTTTCTAGGAAGCCAGAGATATTGGATTCCCTGCACCAGAGTTACCCAGTATTGAATGCTGGGAACTGAACTCAGTTCCTCTGAAAGAACACTACAGGATCTTAATGGCTAAACCACAACTCTAGTTCCATAATCATGACTTTTATTAGATAGATCAGAATTTTAGAATATGCCTTTCATTCTTTGCTTTATTGGACAATTAATTGATTTTTAAATCAATTAAGAAGCCAGTGAGAATGTGTTTTCTTACAATCTTTCATTTAAGTATACTTCAATTAAAATACACTTCCCTTCTTCACTTTCCTCCCTCCAACCACTCCCATACACCCTCTCTCCACCCCCTCCAACAATTCTTCCCACTCCCTCTCAAACTGATAGCTTTATTTCTTGATTATTACTGTTAAATACACAAATACATAAATGCAAATCGTTGAGTCCATTTTTATTGTTTTATGTCCTTCAACAGATGAGTGGATAATGAAAATATGGAACATATACACAGTAAAGTATTATCCAGCTATAAAGAGAAATCAAATCACAAATTTTGCAGGTAAGTTTATTGACCCAGAAAATATTTTATTGATTGAAATAACCCAGAGAGAAAGATAAACAACACATGTTCTCACTCATCTGTAGTTCCTTGCTCCAAATATTCAGGTATAAATATATAACAGGAAGAATATAAAGGGAGATTGGGGACAGCTGGAAGTTGAGAGGGGAATATCAATACACAAGTGATGTGAAAAGGGGAAGGAAAAAGGTGCCAAATGTTCAGATTGGAGAGGATGAAAAGATATCAGAAAGAAGAAGAAGAAGGCCACAGTTGTGATAAAAACTCAAGGAAATATTTTATATTTGCCTAATATTACATACAATGTGTATAAGTGTATATATCCATATATACATATATGTATATAGCAAAATTACCACTTGAGCAGACATTATTCCCAACAAAAGTCATAGACTGTATAATAAAAAAAAACATGCTAGACAGAAGAAATTTCCATTTGAGTTGTTGTTTCAAGGAAGTCCACATGACTCTTAAACGGTATAGATAATAGCTATTGCTCTTGGTTGTCTCACAGACATTGAATGTAAGTGCCTATTACTGAAGATTATACATTCAGTATATTGGTCTCAGATGATACAAGCAAGAGTGAGCCTGAAAGCCTCATGTTATGGTCTACTTTCTACTGTACCAGATATTATCATTATTCAAGCTGCCATGGAGGGCATCAATAAATACTCCTAATTAGCTGGGACCTGTGAACTACAACAATGTCCAGTTGGACAATACATCCCTATTGAGGCAGTGGTGGCACTTGTAGGTGGTGATCAACAGACATCTAACTGAACTTAATTCCTGTTCAATGGGAAATCATGCCTGGTACTAGAAACCTGACCGACCAACCACTCTGGGATATGGAGGATCTAAATGCTGGAAGAAAATTCATTATCATTGCAATAATATGGCATGCAGGCCTTGGTGGGTGGACCCAAGCTGCCCTGCAGCAGTTGAGGCATACACACCATGCAGACAAGGGGGCAGGCTGTAGTGTGGCACACTGGAAAGCCACTCATACCCCAGACACAGCATCTGCATGGTGGGGGGGGGGATTTACATCAGGACATAGGGTGGGTCCCAAGGTGTGGGCCAGAATGTCAACATTCCTCCATTTTGATTATTATAGAAAGGTGAGTTATGGATAGCAAATAGGGGAATAAGGGTGCTAAATTCTTGAGACTACTTCCTGCTAATTTGTGGTAAAGTGGGATGGGGAAGTTGGAAGTCAGAGTCATGAATGGAAGGATGTGTGAGTGAAGAAGCATTTCAGTTGAATGTCATAGTGGAAATCTTAGGTGTGGAGATCTCAGTCACCTGTTCCTTCAGAGAGCTGAGAGGGAAGGTTGTTATGGAAAAAAAAAAGTAGAATGTTATCATTGGTCTCATGAGAGTTCTTAGACTTGGGAAGAGTGATAACTGCCAGAAAGAATGGAACAAATAAGTGCCCTGGTTGTATAGAAGAGGAAATTGTGAATGAATGAAACACTAGAGCAGATATGGCCTTCATTGGGATATCTTGGAAAGTCAGGTTCTGGTTGTTGAGTAGGTGCCTGGTTAAGCATGGAGAAGTGGTACCAGCAGTGAATTGAGGGGTGATGTGTTCTTTAGGAGTCCATGAGCCATCACATTTGTTGTTTCTCTGGAAGTGGGGGTGCAACACTTTACTTGACCAATGTAAGTCCTAACTACATTCTAAGCATTATCCTTACACATTCAGAGAAATGTAGCTCTTAACCCTCATCAAAGAAGCTTCTCTTTACGCAAATGGAGACTATCACAGAAAACTATAACTGGACAAAATGCAGAGATCAATGGATCATGGGATCCCTGGTGCTGATGTGTCCATCTACAATAAAACTCCAGTACCTGAGGCACATGAACATCACAGAAGAGAGGGCAGAATGATTATAGGAGCCAGAAGACCAGGAAGTCTGCCCTGAGACTATGTTGCCTTGAACGACAGCCTAAACAAAACCTGAAAAAAATGAAGATATCAATGGACATGCTAACATGGAAATTGAATATCTCCTAAGTTTCAAGGTCTAGACAATGATCTGCAGGCATCTAATGACAGACATCTAATGCAGAAGGATTGGCCTCTCCAAGGTATGAGATTTCCAATTGGTCATTCAATACAAAGTGGTCAAGTCTGTAATCTGTAATCATTTTAATGAGCTCATCTCTGAGAGCTTATTAGTTATAATTTTAATTAAAATAACATTAATAATGAATGTAATGACAAGGCAAAGTATAAAACAGGTGTTTATAAGATAACATATACATTTTTGTGGTTTAACAGAGATTTGTAAATTGTGACAGTTTTTAAGCAGTAATTCTGTGGTGATCTGTTCTTTTGTGTTCCTTTCTTTATTTAATACATAGGCAAATTGATACATGGTTTTAAAGAAGTAAAAACAATTGAGCTATGCTGAGGATCCAGCTCAGTAGGTGAAAATGTTTGCAGTGAAGTCTGAGGAAATCAGTTTTGGACTCCCACAACCCACATAAAAGCTAGATGCAACAGCCTAAGCTTCTGCAAATCCATGTCCCTTAATGGGAGACTGGAGGATGATAAGGGATAATCCATTGACACTCCTGGACCAAGAAGCCTGGTTGTCACAAATGCAAAACATCCCCTTCTCAAACAAGGTGGAAAAGGGAGCATCATTACCCCAAAGTTGCACTCTAACATATACAGATGTACACCCAATCACACATGTACACAGGTGTTGTTTTTTTTTTTTTTTTTTAAGTGAACGTTGAAGGAACAAATTGGGCACAAATTAGCAACTTTTACATCCATCATGATGGAGAGTGTTTTGCAGATGACAGGAATAGAATGCAGCAGCCAGCAAATTAACAACAGATGATATTCACTTACAGGCTGCATGAGTCCAGCGAAAGAGGTGGATAGAATTTCCGGTAAGATGCGTGTCTGGATTTTGCATGTCTGGATTGTGTTTTGGTCGTTTTAATTACATGCTGGGGCACAGCATAGAGCAAAGGGAACAAGTACCTATGGGAACAAAGAAGAAAGCCATTTTCTGTGCAAGAGTCTATTTGATGTATATTGTTAAGCTTCGGATTAGAATTTTATTCATGAAGACAAATCATTTCCTGCAAAGAATTCAACTGGGAATGACTCAAAAGAACATTTTTATAGAATGTACCCAGATGCTATTGACTAAGTGTGCAGTTGCATAACATTTAAACTGTAGCACAACACAAAAATATGAGTCAAGACTTGATGCTCCAAAAATATGTGTTCTCTGAAGATAATCTTATTTTTAAAATTCGATTAGTCTCTATGTTTTTCTTAGTGTATAAACAGTAAAAAGATTTTTCTGAAGTAATCACAAAGTTTAAATAATTATACCATTTTATAACAGTCTCTAAATCATCTTTAAGCATAAATATCTTTTATTGTAAACTATGAGTTTTTAAAAATTAATATAATGTTATCTTTATACAATTGTGAACAAGAAAATAACCAGGATTCCCTGAAATATATTTTAATGTATAGAATAAGCTTAATATAAAAAAAACCTGGAAAACTCACAAAATTAACATAGAGACTTTGAAGGAATTTTGTTTACTGGTATAGCTCATTTCAAATTTCCAGGAATAACCTTCCAAAATATAGTGAAGTGACTATGGAAATACTGACATTTTATATAAGGAATGCTCAGTGGTGTAAGTGGACAGAAGGCCATTTTCTTAAGGCTACACATATATGAGTACATAGATAGGTGTTTATCTCTGATTGCTCACAGACACAGGGGAGGCTGAAGCAAGAGAATGCTCTACCTGTACAGTGACACAGTAAATTTCAGAACAGCCAGAGGTACATAATTACAACTTCTCTGAAGAAAGCAAACAGCATAGAATGGGTGGGGGGTTGAAGTACTAAATTTTCTATTGTGTTGCTTTCTACAATACACTGTGCTGACAAGTGATACTGCTAGTTATACAGTGAGAAGCTGGGCTCTGGTAAAAAATGTTTCATTGTAATTCAACTTTAGAACCATGCAAAGCCTTCTCCTTGCAGGACACATAGGGTAGGGCACGTAATGCTTTCTCTCCTCACAGGACTTTGTGCATTTGCGTTAGTCTCTTGGAGAAGGGAAAGCCAAGGACTTGATCTCTGTGGATGGTCATTCTCCTCCCCACACATATTCACAGTCTCTATGCCTCCATTTCTGGAATTCTGGGGCTTTCTTGCAGATTCCTGTGTTGTGGCTATATCACTGTAGGATGAGGTGGAAACCTGAAGACAGTTTTTCTTCATTCCAGTGCTATAAGTTTCTTTTCCAAGGTTTTTACCAACACAATTTCTCCTCAAATGTGCAAACAAATACCAAAACATATGAATTTTCCTTTACTCTTTGGTTTCTCAGTACTGAAGCAAATACAATACCAAGCTGAGCCACGTAACTCTGGACCAGACTCCCATTCCATATAGAAATAACAATGCTTTCTCATTTTATAACGCTTCTTTCTGCAGACACTCCTGGGTTTGATATGCATTTTGACTTAAAACACCTGTCCTGAGTTGACAGTATTATATGATGAAAATGCATTTAACCCTGAAGTTACTCAACATCAAAGGAGAATAACACAGTAGATTGTCAATTGACAATTGTGGTCATCTTGCTGTAGGAGACCTGTAGAAAAAACTTCCACATTTGGCATACCATCTTGGGGCTCTCAAATTTCCATAAGGCCTAAAAGAGTTTAAAAAGGGCTTCTAAACACACAATAATGGAAGAAAAAACAGCTTTCTACTTCATGTCTGATGTGGGCTGAGTTATAGAGATGCCAAGGTACAGAGACACTGTGGTTTGAGGACTTCAACTATATACAGAATGGCAAGCTCATGGAGTATGTGTGGGCTTGAGTGCAGCATGGAGAATTCCTGTCATGGTACACAGTGGTGTCTGCAAGATGCACAGCATGGTGTGTGGTGTATTTAACTTTACTAGTACAGACAAAGAAAGAAAGAGGTTTCTGGGCAACACAGGATTCTTAGAGATATAGACACACTGCTTCCAGGAGTTGGTGGTAGGCATACTTCCACCATGTTGGGGAGCTGAGGTAGGTGGAGTCAACAACCAAGGCTGCCGCTTTTTGTATTAGTTACGCAGCTTAACAATATAAAATCTCTCCTGGGCAAAGAAAGATTATAAATTCACAATAAGTCAGATTCAGATGAAATAAAACTCTAAACTGTTTACAATGTGTGTAAAAATGTACGTAGGCTTAGAAGAAAGAAGAAGAGGAAGATAGACAATTATATAAAGAAACAGAAATTTTTAAAAAAATGAAGTCTTTAAATATGCAATAAAAGTAATATAAAAAATAAGCCACATAAAGATACAAGGAAAAGGGATAGTATAAATATGGTAGGACGAAAGGGTAGATTATTGAATCTACTTTTAAAGAGCAACAACTTGTTTAAAATGTTTTACATTGTTATGGATTTTAGTTTATTGATACAAATTTAAAGTTAATTTTGTTATACTGTATGTATATTTTTACTCTTGTTTAAGGTATTATGTTTATGTAGCTCATTTGAAATTGTAATGTATAATTAAGAAATACAGATTAATAATTAGTCATCTATGATAATCATACTTGTAGTCATGTTAGTTAAGTTTTCTAGGTATACATAGATATATTTCAATTAGGTAGGTGATCTTCAAACACTTCAAAGACCTACAGAATATGGCATTTAAAATGTTGTAAAAACTTAAGACTTTTCTGGACAGTGAGACACATCTGCTCCTGGCAGCACTCATTTACTTGGAAGAGGAAGGTGAGCATTGAAGTCATTCTACATGGAGTTTATCTTCCTCTTGGTACAAAATGACCATTTGGGCAAGAAACTGTTCTTGCCTGGACTGCTTGACAAGATATTATATAAACTTGACATGCAGGATCCATAAGAAGGTGAGCACTGAAGAGCAAGATGGTCCTTCGGGTTCCTGCTTTGCAGAAGAAATTGCCAGATATTCTACAGGACACACAGAGAAGTGACTGAGAGATTCTAGGCCTATAGGCTTAAGAAGGATGCCTCAACATTGTAGAGGAACTTTGGGTGACTATCCAGGCAGGCAGCTGTCTCTGTCATTCTGGATTTTGGGAAGTTGCTTACAATGCAGTTACTATTTACTTAGTTAATATTATATCCTTCTGACATCTTTGATGTAGTTGAAGGCTATATAGTTATAATTTTCCTTGGTTATTATAAAAGATAAATTAGATATGAAACTTTAGACTCACAAATTAAGGATTGAAAAAATATTTTCTTTAATTTGGCAAAACACAGACTAGATATTGTAACTGTAATTCTTGCTTGATAATTGTTCTATTACATGTAATTTTACTATGTTAAAGTTAAAACCTTCCTTTTGATTAGACAGAAAAGGGGAAGTGCTCTGGAATGTTGTTCTGTATGCTGTGAATGTGTGTTGCTCTGATTGGTTGATAAATAAAGCTGTTTGGCCAATGGTGAGACAGAATAAGGTTAGGTGGGACATTCCAACTAGAAAGAGAGGAAGGAGAAAGGCAGAGAAGAGAGACACTGCTAGCTGCCACCAGGAGAAGCAAGACGTAAAGTAATGTAAGCCACAAGCCATGTGGCAAGGTATAGATTTATAGAAATGGGTTAATTTAAGATGTAAGAGCTAGCTAGCAAGAAGGCTGAGACATTAGGGCATAGAGTTTGAAAATGATATTAAGCCTCTGTGTGATTATTTTATAAAAGGCTGTGGGACAGTGGGTGAGAGATTTGTCCTGACCGTGGGCAAGGCAAGACACAGGAAATCTTCTGACTACAGAGACCTGCAGCATGCTGCCACTCCCCTGTTGTGGGATGTCATTCTGTATGTTGTGAATATGTGTTTGGTGGTAAATAAAATGCCAATTGGCCAATAGCCAGGCAGGAAGTATAGACAGGGCAAGCAGAGAGGAGAATTCTGGGAAGAGGAAGGCTGAGTCAGGAGTCACCAGCCAGACACAGAGGAAGCTAGATGTGAAGGCAGAACTGAGAAAAGGTACCAAGCCATGTGGCTAAACGTAGATATGAATTATGGGTTAATTTAAGTATAAGAGCTAGTCAGTAATAAGCATGAGCTAATGGCTGGACAGTTATAATTAATATAAGCTTCTGAGTGATTATTCTATAAGTGGGCCACAGGACTGCAGGGGCTTGGTGAAAACTGAGAAACTTCCAGCTACACTCTCCTGCATTGTGAGCAATATGGCAAGCCAGGAATAAACCAAATTTACATCTAAAAGAACTTTTTCTACTGAATGAATAATGCATTTTATCTATTGTAAATTTTAAGTCAACTCATTTGTTGCTAAGGACTAAGGAAGGAAATATCTGACCTCCATAATGGATATTTTTTAAATAGTTTCTGGAGACACCATACTTCATGCTGTGACAATGGAGGCTCTTCTGCTGAGATCAGCATAAAAGCAATAGTATCCACTCTCATAAGAGCTGTTAACAAGGTCCTGGAAGTCCACAAGAAAGAATATGATAAAAGCTGCTGTAGATTCACAGGGCATAAATGAAATTGTCTTTGTTCATAGATGACATAATTATCCTATAACATTCTGAAATTTAAAAAAAGCTTATCAAAACACAACAAAATTCCCCAGAACTAATAACTAATCCTATTAACACTGCAGGATACAAGGTTAATATTACAAAAGCTAATTGCTTACTAATGAGCTACAATGAACAAATGGAATTTGCAATTAAAAATACATACCATTTATAATGACACTAAAATAATATACTTAGCTACAAATGTCAAAAAACTTACCTGCACAGAATCCATAGTAGAAAAATGAAAAACAATATTAGAAACCAGATTATCTTGATGAAGATGTGACCCACATTTATGGATAAAAAGACTCTGTTTTTTCAAAATTTCATATCTCCACACTTGTACTGTAGATTCAGTGAAACAAATTCTATGTCCCAAAAAAATTTGTTGTGATTATTAATGAAATCAATGTAAGTTTATATGAATTAAAGCATTTCCATGGGAAACATAAGTTGCATGTGAGCCAAGTGAATCATGTTTGCCATCATTCACCATTAAGGACTTTCAGCTTGAAACAGTAAGGTGCAACTGCATATCTATGAGAGGGCACAAAAATCCACAACACAGAAAACATGAAAGAGAATAGCAAGAGATATAGTGGAGTTAACCTCTATGAATTACTGGCAGGAATACAAAATGGTAATACCATTATCAAAGACAGTGATAGTTTCATTAAGATCTAAAAATACTGTGAGTGAATGACCTAGTCACTCATATTATTTCACATTCATATAAAGAAACAGAAAACATGTTCTCATACAAAGGCTACACACACACACACACACACACACACACACACACACACACACACACACATATATATATACCCTAACACTATTGTTTCAAAACACAAGCATGCAAGGTATCATTCACCAATAAATATCCACCATATAATGGCATATCAAGTAAGGAAGATTTGGATGTTTCTAATAAAAATTCTGTATAACAAAACATATATTCAACAACTAAAGGAAGTAAAAAGTTATTATCTCCAAAAATACAAGAATAATCATAGAAACTAAATTTAAAAATATACACGGAAATTTTGCACAATATCCCCAAAGTGAAGAAACTAGAGATTTCTCTCAACAAATGGCTGGATAATCACATGATGACATGAGACATGATGAAACACTAATTAATAACTAAAGTACGTTAACTATGGTACAACTCAGATGAATGGTGTGTGTATGTGTGTGTGTGTGTGTATGTGTGTGTGTGTGTGTGTGTGTGTATGTGTAGTAATACATTAATATGTGTTCATGTGTTTGTGAGGGATCATGATTGCATGCATTCATTGAAGTCCAGATATAAGCACTGTGTGTCATCTCTATCACTCCACGTTTTATTTTTTTGAGACAGGGTTTCTCACAGAACATGGAGCTTATATGTTAACTAACAAACTCCCAGGAACTCCCTATTTGTGCACAGCAATTGGATTATTAAGGGGCATACCCCTACATCCAGCTTTTGATGAGAGTATTTGTGATCTAAAATTATGACTTGAATTTTAACCAGTACCTGAATGAAACTTAAAAGTATTGCTTTAAGTGACCAAGGGCACCATGAAAATCCAGAATGTTTAGTACTCATATGTTGCCTAAGAGATTAAATAAATGATGCAAATAAAAAATTAGATCTATGTATATGTTACAGTTAAGGACACATGAGTCTTCTATGGTTATTAAAATATTCTTTAACTATTTTTTTGAGATAGAGTCTCAATATATATCCCTGGCTGGACTGGAACTCCCTTGTAGATCATATTGGCTAAAAGTCACAGAGATCACTTGCCTTTTCCTCCACAGTGCTAGAATTAAAGAAATGCATCACTGTGCCACACCTGGCATCTTTACATACTTTTAATAAATATTAACATAAAACTATATTTTCAAAGTTCATGAAATATGTAGCTAATTTTTCCTTTACTGTATTATATGAACACAAAATTCCCCTTATTATGCAACCCAAGTACTTTTTTCTTATTATTTTGACTCTCATTTCTAGCGTGCATGAGTTTCTATTGTAACTACACTTCTGTCACATTCTCCCTGCTATTCCTTGGGATATTTAACAAGCTTTTTAGTATGTTTGTTTAATTGTTGTCCTAAAGGGTCTTTCAGTTTTGTTTTTCCTCTCATTTGCAGATTGTTCAATTTTTCATCTTTGTTTCATAGTGATTTTGCTTTTTCAAATAACTCATTTTGTTTCTGTATAAGCCTGCCTTTTAATCTCTAATGAAAGGCAGCTCCTTTCATTGTTAATGACACTCTGGAGTTTGTCCAACAGATTGGGCTTCTGCTCCTGCTTTTATAGATGAATCGATGAGCTGATGGGCAGAGAATCCCCGGTGTTGCAATTTGGGCTTTCTCCTTTCTATTCTCCACTCTTCCTGCTCCTTGATTAAAAAGCCCATTTTGTTATCTTGTGCACATTTGTCCTGTATTGAATGTGCACAGCCTGCAGCAGGGGTCAGTCAGATGTTCTGGGTCTGCCTGTCAGCTTGCATCTTGCCACACTGTCCCCAACAGTTAGGCTTCAACTCATCCTGCAACTGGCCAACAAAAGGTGAAAGGCTTATTTATGATGGACTCTGGATACTGTGGATAAATGTTTGTCCAAGATTTACATTTTTTTTACTCGGTTTGTTTCTATATTACTATCAAATGTAAGTTTTTAGATTGTATTGACAAAGAAATTGATCTTGAAAACATCCTTCCTGTAGATCATTTTTTTAAAGGAACTGAGACTAAAGATTTACCTCATAGGTTAAACTCACTGGGTTTCACAGTGAAGTTCTTCATGTCTTCATAAGGAGTATCCCTAATAAAGAATTTCCCACATTGGTTATTTGCATAGGATTTTTCTCCATTGTAAATTCTTTCATTATACCACAAGTCACTGCAATTGTGAATTTTTTTACATACTATTTGAGCACATGCTATATCTGTTATCTGTGAATCCCTTAATAGGGTCTATGAGAACCATGAACATAGAAGGGATTACCACAAGGCTTACATATACAGTTTTCTCTCCAAGATGAATCTATCCATACCATTGAAGGAAAGTGGTTGAAGTGAAAGTTTTATCACATTCCATACATGTAGAAAGCTTCTCTTAGATGTGATGAAGACTTAGATGAAGTCTTTACTGTGTCAATTACAAGTATAAACTAAATCTTCACTGGACACTTCTTTGTTTCTATGAATGTCTAGAAGTTTTTCTCATTCTGCTTATAAAAACACATTCTGTCTAGAACAATATTTTTCATGTACTTTAACATAACTATGCATGACATTCCTGATATTTCTCTTCTTTGTTTACAGTCTGACCTAGGATGGGCACATGCATTTCACATGTTTCTTTTTTTCCCTTGGTAAGATATTTGTATTCTGGAATTCATATATAATTTTCTCCACATTGGCTATGTTATGTTAACAGAATCTCATTACTGTCTGATTTTTTTACAATTCTGGAATTTTTGTAGTCATTTGCAATCTTCTAGTCTTTTTTTTTTTTTTTTTTTTTTTTTACTTTCCCTTAAAGCAACCATTTTCCAGAAGGTTTTCTTTCATCAAATCTCTGAGTAACTTCATTTGGGAAGGATTATAAGTGGATTTTTCATGGAGAAAACTGACTCCCAATAATGACATGGAGACTTACTAATTATGAAAGTTTGGTTGATAGCTTAGGCTTGTTTCTAATTAGCTGTTATAACTTAAATTAACACATTTCTATTAAATTACATTCTGCCTCATGGTTTTATTACCTCATCTCCATTTTGTCTATCCTGCTTGCTCTGCATCTCTTGGTGTTTTTACCTTCTTCTTCCTAGCATCCTCTCTGAACTGAAAATCCTGCCTAGCTATTGGCTATTCAGCTTTTTATTAAATCAATCAGAGGGACATATCTTCACAGTGTACAAAAAGATTATTCCACAACATTTTCCCTTTTTGTCTCAATAAAAAATAAAGGTTTTAACTCTAACATAGCAAAACTATAAACATTAAGAACAATTATCAGGTATTGTCAAAATAGAAAGGAATGGTATTAATTTAACAAAAGAAACTATATACAGTAAGAACAATTATCAAGTAACAATTACATTCACAATGTCTAGTCCATTTGTATTTGGCATATTTGAAGAAAATGTTATCTATTTATCTTGATGAATTTAAAGTTTTATACCTAAATCATTTTTTTCCTAACTAGTATTATCATCTTAAAACTATCTTTTTAGACCTCAAAACATTTTCTTAGATAAACAATTTAAGCTTTTATGTCTCTCAATCTTATATATATTTTACTTCTTTTGTGTGTTTCTTTTCTGAATTTGGTATCAAGAAAAACTATAACTATCTGGTCTTCAACTCCATCAGATACTCAAGAAAGATATACTATTACATGAGTAATATACTGTTACATGAAGTACAAACTAAACAACTTCCAAAGCTACAAAAATGACAGAAAGAGCTAGCTACCTGGACAGTCACACAAGGTTCCTCTGTAACATTGGGGCATCCCTTTTTGGTGTACATGCTCAGAATATCTGATAGAATTTTCTGTGAAGCAGGAATTTTGAAGGACTGTCCCATCTTATCAAGGCAAAGTTTGATAGTGGTTTTCTTTTGTGTCCTGCTTGTCCAATTTGGACAGCATATTGTCAGCAGTTGAGACAATGGCAGTTTCTTGCCTAGTGGCTATCTTGTCCCCAAGAAAGGAAACTCCGTATAGAGGTTCTTTGATGCCCATCATCTTCTCTGTAGTAGATTGGTGCTGCCATGAAAAGATGTGTTTCTTTGTCATGAAAAGTCTTACAACTTTTTAAATACCATAGTCTGTAGATCTCTGAAGTGTTTGAAGACCACCTATCTAAAATATATCTCTATTGACATTGAAAACATACCTAACATGATTGCAAGTTGGATTGTTATAGATGACTAACTACTAATCTGTGTTACTTAATTATCCTAAATGGTTTATAATAATAGCTTTCAAGAACTAGAACTTTACATTTTTAAGTGACCTGCATAGTTATAATACCTTAAAGAAAATTAGAAACATATATATAGTCTAACAAATATTACATTAAATTTGTATCAATATGTAAAAATCCATACCAATGTAAAATATTTGAGACTAGTAGTTGTTTTTTAGTTCAAAAGCAGACCCAAAAGTCTTCTCTTTTATCCATCATTTCTATACTATATCCCCTGTTTTTCCCTTCAGAAAGAGACCCCTGAATCTAATCTCTTTTGTTCCGCTTTTTTTCTGACCATGACCAATATCGACTTGTAACCAACACTTCTAAATAATGACAAACATTGAATGACCAAAACCACCCACCTCACCTCTTGGGAATGTGGGTGTCACATTCTCTAGACTTATCTCTGCTTCCTGGGGATGATGAAATCTTCAGGGGAACTCAAGAAAATTGGGATAATGGTCAAGTCCTAGAAAAATTAGCCATAACACTGTTGTTCAGTATCTGTGCTATGGGAAAGCACAGGTTTACTTATAATGCTGTCTAGAACAGTCTGTGAGGCTGGACCATCTCAGCCAGTTGCCTTAAAGCTGTCCTGGATGAAGAATTGTGAGGAAACTGCAACAGAGGCACTCTGAGAGGCTGGATCACTTGTGCTACCCATTTTCATTGGTGTCTGGTCTCCTTGCTCTGAAAATGCATAACCTTTCAAAGGTAACATACATATTTGTATTAACACAAGTTTGGACTGTATGTTGTAAATAAGATAGCCAAAGATGATTTTTTTGTTTTATGTTTGAGAAAGTAAAATACGCATCACTTGTCTTGTAGGTTTTCTGGGTTTCTTTCTTTTTTTTTTTTTATTTTTTTTTAAGAAATTTTCTATTCATGTTACATACCAACCCCAAATCACCCTCTCCTCCCTCCTCCCGCTGCCTAGCCTTCCTCCCTAACCCACCCCCCAATAGTCACCTCATCCAAGGCAAGGTCTCTCATGGAGAGTCAGCAGAGCCTGGTACATTCATGTGAGGCAGGTTCCAGGCCTCCCCGCTGCACCAAGGCTGAGCAAGGTAGGGACATTAAGATCATCATGAGAAAATATACAGAGACGGCCAGCCAAACCAGTGAAAACTCAAAAACTGTGGACCAACAGCTGTGGAGCCCCCATGAGACTGGACTAGGACCCCTGGATAGGGGAGACAGTTATTTAGATTGAACTTTTTGGGGGGCCCACAGGTAGGGGGATCAGGATCTGTCCCTGGTGCATGAGCAGGATTTTTGGATCCCAGTGCCTAAGGTTTGACACCTTGTGCAGCTTTGTTGCATTTTTGTGTGGTTTGGGTATCAGCATAACTACAGCCTCATAAAAAGGGTTTGATAAATTTCCTTCTGTTTCTATTATATGGAACAATTTGCAGAGTATTGGAATTAGCTCTTCTTTGAAAATCTGGTAAAATTCTGCACTAAAACCATCTAGTACTGGGCTTTTTTGGGGGGTAGGAAGACTTTTAATGAATGTTTCTATTTCCGTAGGAGTTATTGGCCTATTTAAATAGTTTATCTGGCCTTGCTTTAACTTTGGCATGTGGTACCTATCCAGAAAACTCTCCATTTCCTTTAGATTTTCCAATTTTGTGGAGTACAGGTTTTTGAAGTATGACCTGATGGTTCTCTGGATTTCCTCATTGTCAATTGTTATGTCTCCCTTTTCATTTCTGATTTTGCTAATTTGGATGCTCTCTCTCTGCCTTTTGATTAGTCTGGATAAGAACTTGTCTAACTTGTTGATTTTCTCAAAGAACCAACTCTTTGTTTCATTGGTTCCTTGTATTGTTCTCTTTGTTTCTATTTTATTGATTTCAGCTCTCAATTTGATTATTTCCTGGTGTCTATTCTTTTTGTTCTAGAGATTTCAGGTGTGCTATTAAGTCTTTAGTGTGAGACTTCTCCATCTTCTTTTTGTGGGCATTTAGTACTATGAATTTTCCTCTTAGCACTGCTTTCATAGTGTCCTATAAGTTTGGATATGTTGTACATTCATTTTCATTGAATTCTAGGAAATCTTTAATTTTTTTCTTTATTTTGTCCTTGACCCATTGGTGGTTCAACTGGGCATTATTCAGTTTCCATGAGACTGTAGGATTTCTGTAATTTTTGTTGTTATTGAAATCTAACTTTAAGCCACGGTGGTCCAATAAAATAAAGGAGTTTATTCCAATTTTTTGTATCTGTTGAGATTTGCTTTGTGACCAAGCACATGGTCAATTTTAGAGAAGGTTCCATGGGATGCTAAGAAGAAAGTATAGTCTTTTTTGTTAGGGTGGAATGTTCTGTAGATATCTTTTAAATGTATTTGAGTCATAATCTCTGTTAGTTCCCTTATTTCTCTGTTAAGTTAATGTCTGGCAGACCTGTCCATTGGTGAGAGTGGGTTGTTGAAGTCTCCCACTACTAGTGTGTGGGGTTTGATTTCCTATTTAAGTTTAGTAATGTTTCTTTCACAAATGTGCCCTTGTATTTGGGGCATAAATGTTCACAATTCAGACTTCATCTTGGTGGATTTTCCCTGTGATGAATATGTAATATCCTTCCTGATCTGTTTTAATTAATTTTAGTTTGAAGTCTATTTTATCAGATATTAGGATGGCTACACTAGCTTGCTTCTTAAGTCCATTTGATTGGAAAATCTTTTCCCAGCCTTTTGCTCTGAAATAATGTCTTGTCTTTGAAGTTGAGGTGTGTTTCTTGTATGCAGCAGAAGAATGGATCCTGTTTTTGATTCTATTCTGTTAGCCTGTGTCTTTTTATAGGTGAATTGAGACCATTGATACTAATGGATATTAATGACTAGTGATTGTTAATTCCTGTTTTTGTTTGTTTGTTTGTTTGTTTTTTGTGGTAGTGTTGTGTGTTTCTCTTCTTTGATATTTGGTGGTATGGGATTATCTATTGCCTGTGTTTTCATGGGTGCATCTTATTTCCTTAGGTTGGGGTTTTCCTTCTAGTGCTTTCTGTAGGGCTGGATTTGTGGATAGGTACTGTTTAAATCTGGTTTTATCATGGAATATTTTTTTTTTTTTTAGTCTGTCTATGATGATTGAGAGTTTTGCTGTGTATAATAGTCTGGATTGGCATCCATGGTCTCTTAATGACACATAACGTCTGTCTAGGACGTTGTGGCTTTCAGAGTCTCCATCAAGAAGTCAGGTGTTATTCTGATGGGTCTGCCTTTATATGTTACTCGACATTTTTCCTTTGCAGCTATTAATATTTTTTTTTGTTCTGTATGTTTAGTGGTTTGATTATTATGTGGTGAGGGGCCTTTTTTTGGATCCAGTCTATTTGTTGTTCTATAAGCTTCTTGTATCTTCATAGGCATTTCCTTCTTTAGATTGGGAAAGTTTTCTTCTATGATTTTGTTGAATATATTTTCTGTGTCTTTGAGTTGGTATTCTTCTCCTTCTTCTATCCCTGTTATTCTTAGCTTTGGTCTTTTCATGGTGTCCCAAATTTTCTGGACATTTTGTGTTATGACTTTATTGGCTTTAGTGTTTTCTTTTACTGACAAATCTATTTCCTCTATTGTATCTTCAGTGTCAGAGATTCTCACTTTAATCTCTTGCATTCTGTTGGTTATGCTTTCATCTGTAGTTCCTGTTCATTTACTCAGATTTTTCCATTTCCAACATTCCCTCAGTTTGTGTCTTCTTTGTTGCCTCTATTTCAGTTTTCAAGTCTTGGACTGTTTCCTTCACCTATTTAGTTGCTCTTTCTTGGCTTTCTTTAAAGGATTTATTGATTTCTTCCAATTTTTGTTTGTCTTTTCCTCGATTTCTTTAAGGGAATTTTTCATTTCTCTTTAAAGACCTCTATCATCTTCTTAAAGTCATTTTTGGGTCAACTTCTTCTGCTTCTTCTGTGAGGGGATGTTCAGGTCTTGCTGTTGTAGAACTACTGATGGTGCCATATTGGTCTTTTTGTTGTTGACTGTATTTTTGCACTGGCATCTTCCCATCTCTTCGTCCACTAGGTGCAAGTGGTGTCTGTGTCTGAGGGAGACTCTCTTGGTCTGATTGATATTCTTCTTTCAATGGGAGCTCTTGGTCTAATAGGGGTTTTTGATCCAATAGGTGCTGATGGACTCTGTGTCTCAGGGAGCAGCTCTTAGTCCAGTCAGTGCTGGCAGGCTCTGTCTCAGGGAGCAGCTGCAGTCTTGGAGAGTGGGTGGGTTTGAAGGAGGTGGGGCTTGTGGGTTCCAGGGTCTGGTGGGTGGGGGGAGGTATTCTGACCTCTCTATAGGAGACATGTCTGCTGGCCTGAAACTGGAACTGCCATGGGTAGTGGTATGGGGGCACAAGGTTGTGCCCCTGGGCCCAAAGCCTAGAGGCTGGGGTGTTCAGCTATGAGAACAAAGATTCACCTGTTAGTCCACTCAGTGCTGGTGGGCTCTCCTGTGTTTATTCCTTTATGTCTATAGCCAGATTTTCAGGTATCTGCCCTGATCAAATTGGATCTCTATTAACCTGTAAAGAATTCACAGCCTTTCATTTCCTGTGGAAACAAAAGCATAATCTCTTCTCCAACATACTACATTTTTTTTAAATTTATTTTTAGAGTTAAGGCATTTCTAAAATAATATAGGTTGGTTTAACTCAGCAGTCCCTTCCACAATCCAGTGTCTCTCAGCAGCTGTTGTCTGCTTGTTAGCATTCAAAAAATTGAACACTAACAAAGCTCTCTGTGTTAGAGTATTCCCCATTCTTACATGGCTTACTATTCTTTTTTTTTTTTTAATTATCTTACTTCTCTGTTTAAAGAATTTATTATTTTTTAAACTATTTTTAAGACTCTCTATACCCCTTTTCTCTTTTTTCTCCTTAGGCCTATGAACATCCTTAAACACACTGTAACCTGTTTAGAGGTTTTGTTCCATCTGAACCTGCTTTATTGCATATTTGTAATCTTTTTTACATGAGCGACTGTAGGACAAGGAAGCCACGTTAGGCTCTGTTTTGTATGTTTGGAACCTGTTTATAGCTTTTTCAGGTCTTATGTAGAAATTCATGACAAACATTGGGAGCCATTTGCAAGTGGATTTTTTGTCAGGATCCCCAATAATGTCATGGAGACTTATTCTTAATTATATAAACTTGGCTGATAGCTTAGGCTTGCTTCTAACTAGCTTTTATAAATTAAATTAACCCATTTCTATTAATTCGTTTTCTGCCTCAAGGCTTGTTCTGCATCTCTTGGTGTCTCTGCCACCTTCTTACCAGCATTGTCTTTACCACAAAAATCCTGCCTAGCTCTTGGCAGTTCAGCTTATTAAACCAATCAGAGGGACACATCTTCACAGTGTACAAAAGGATTATTCCACAACAAAGACTGTAGAGAAAAATCACTCTTGCAGGTCAAATTCCCTCAAAGATCACAGCTTCCTTGGTGTCAGATGAAATATTAGGTGAGAAA